CAAATCCAAATATGGCTGTAGCCATATTAAATATCAAATTTAAACAACATATGTATAGTTCAGAAGGAAACATAAAAACTTCAATATAAGTACAAGATATAGAAATAATAACAATATACAAATGATAAAATCTCAAAATGGAATCAAATAGAGTACCAAAATATCAAACAGAAGAGTCAGTCATATCATAACACAAATATATATACATGGAGGGATTTTCCAAAAACAAAACCTTCAAAATAGATTCTACACCGATCAAATCATACTTGATGGAGAATTTCTGGAAGATATGGAATCTTTTGCGTGCCTGTGAAGGATTATGACAAACAAGGTGTATTAGATACAATTGTGAAGATATGGATTAGAAAAGCAGGAGCAACATTCTAATACTGGAGTGCATCTGGAACTCAAATAACTATTGTTCAACACAAATGTCAAGAAAGTTCTATGGTATGGAGCTAAAACTTTGAGAACTACCACAATAATCATTAAAAGATGCGGGAAATAATCTACACACGATCCTGAGGATCCACTGTCGAGATACCACCAGTGAAAATCTGATGCGATGGAGAGCTAACCTGATTCCAAAGGATGAAAGAATTAAGAAGAGGTGCTGGAGGTGGATGGGATCCACAATGAAGAAAGCACCAAACTGAGTCAAAATACAATCCTTCTCTTGGAATCCTCAAGGCTAAAGCGAAATTGGGAGATCAAAGAATATATTTAATTGAGAATCAGAGACAGATATGAAAAAAGTGCAGAGTAATTGGAACTTGTAAGGAAGGCTCAGAACAGAGTTCCTTGGAGAATTCTAGTTGGCGTTTATGCTTCATCAGGGGCAATAAGCGTAACTAAGATTTACTTCAAATCACCAATAACAATTTAGCGTTTGATGTAGATTTGTTGTTGTGTAATATTATTAAGCATTTACTCAAACTAGTAACGTCCACCTTATTTATCATCGTAACTACATTCCCTCAACAATTTTAACTGTCGCTTTTGATTTTCGTAGGTGCAGTCAAAAAACA